TGTGCTGGAAATTCTCTGAACTTGGTTCAGATGAATGGCCCACTTTCTGAAGGCCTTTTTCTTCCTGCAAAGATTTGTATGCAGAAACTGACCTCAGTGGCCATGGAATGCAGCATATTATTCTCGATCATTTTATAGCCCACCCACTGTGAAAGTTATGATGAAGCATTTCTTAATGATTCCTTGACCATTAGCATTGTTTTAACTCAGTATTTTACTTCTAAAAAGGTGATGGCACAATCAAAACCCAGCTTTTTTGAGTGTCTGATAATTATGGTTTAAAATGCTTATAATCCTTTCTAACTGAAGATGCTGAGAGTTTTTATGTTTATACAGTCTTCTTTTAGAAAATGACATGTAACAGCAAAGTATTTACTCAAAACCTCCCTTTTGAGTAAAATATTCCAGTAAGTTAATGTATTAGTATTAATAGTGACAATCAGCTGACAGTTTTTCACCATCAAATATAAAAAATTTAGTTTTGTTGAGCATATTCATCCTGGCTGGCTGATGATAAACTGGACAGACCTGGGTTAGAGCTATTATTTTGTTTGCTTAGTGAGTCACTGTTTATGTGAATTCTTTTTTACTGGGGTTTTTGGTTTTTGTTTGTTTTTTGAAGAAATAATTGGTATCAGCTTTGTAGGTGACTAAGTTGCACAGATTAAATTTTTGGTCAGATGACAGCATCTTTCACTAGAAATATACTTCGTTAAAGGAAACTGTATCATTACTATGGGGAGTTGAATGAAGTTCTAAGACCTTTTCCCTGTTGTCAGAGAGTTGTTCATGAAAATCTTTGAGACTATTTTGAATTTAATGGATCTGTATAATTCTTTTCTAAACATTTAAAATATAATTATAGGTAATTGTTACTATCATAAATCTGTGCTGGTTAAATTAATAAGAATGTTTCAAAGTAAGTATTATAAATGTGTTTTCAGTGATTTTGCAGAAATAGAGTGTGTATTCTTCCAGGTTTGTATTTTTTTTTAATTTATAGTTTATTTCTATTGCAGAGCATATTTATATCTGCCAATTAACTGGCATATATGTCCAACCCATCCATTTTATTTAAAACCAAAACAAAACTAGTTTCAAACTTCTGTCAAGCCAGAAGGAATCTTTGCAAATTTTGTTTGTAGAAGAGTGAACTTACAAAGAGATTCCACACTTTTCACTCTTTTTGGTATTTGGAGGTCGTTCACAGTGAAGCCTTTTTCCTATATCCTGTTAACATATCACCCTAAGACAAATTGTTAGAAAAAGGCTGGGTACTGTCGCTCGCACCTGTAATCCCAGTACTTTGGGAGGACAAAGCAGGAGGATCCCCTGAGGCCAGGAGTTCAAGACCAGTCTGGGCGTCATAGCGAGATCCGCCCCATCTCTTAAAAAAAAAAAAGCCAAACCTGGTAGTGGCACACACCTGTAATCCCAGCCACTCAGGAGGCTGACGCAGAAGGATCATTTGAGGCCAGGAGTTCGAGACTGCAGTGAGCTGTGATAGGGCCACTGCACTCCAGCCATTGTGACAGAGTGAGATCCTGTTTCTTAAAAGGAAAAGAAAAAATTGTTAGAAAAGTGCCATTGCAGGAGTTAAGTGTGCAGAAGAAGCAGTAGCTTCCTATCACTTGCCTAGCTCTGATCCACTTTTACAGGTGTAGAAATGTTGGTTCAAACAGATTAAGTTCTCAGGTACATTGCTAGTAGAAGAACAGGTTGAGATTTAGACCTGGATGTTTTAACTCAAAACCCTGTACTCCTTCTATAAGGTCCCTCCTGGGACAAATTATAATATATATGAAACAGATGTGAATCAAAATAAAACAATGGAAAAATAAATAGTACTTAGGTTTTGGAGAGTTGCAACTATATGTCATCACCATCTATAAGGTCCCTTTCTGTGGGAAAATGGGTTCTGGGTTGGAACAGGATGTCAGGATTAACAATGTTCCAATGCCTCTGGAAGCAGAGACTTGTTACATAACAGAAGGGATTCTCAATCCCTACTCCATCAGGCTGCTACAGTTTGAAAATTATTACAGCATATGACATAGATTAAATGGAAGAAAGATCTCTTGAGTTTATGCTATAATTAACGAACAATTGGTGAGGGAGGCAATATTTTCCTTGAAGGATCTGTTAGTGTGAGAAACAGAGAGATGAGATGAGGAACCAAAGTTTCTATAAAGAAAGAGGTTTCAGTTATAGGGGAAGTAAGAATATAGGCCGAGAACTGGGACAACTACTCATAATAAGAGCTAGCATGTATACACCTAATTTAGTCAACACATCCCTGTCAATGCAGATGTTGTTATAATCTTTTATACACAAGGAAACTGAGACAGACAGTTTGCTCTGGGTTTTGTACCAGCTTCTATGAGTCATCAGGGCCTGAAATCAAAAACCACTGTCTGCTCTCTACCTCTTGGTAGCTTGGCTTAAGAGTCTGGCCTAACCAGATAGACAAATGAGAGAATAAGCAGCAATCAAATTGAATGCAAAAGGTGGGTTCTTTCTTTTAAGGGCATTGAATGGTAGTTAGGTTAATAAAGATTTAACTTGGTGTGGGGTAGAAAACCATTCAGTGATCATGAGCGAGGTAGTAACATAATTCTTGAGGAAAGCACAGATTTAAGAAAGTCAAGTTGCACGGTCGTCTAGATGTGAGGCTGTTTCTGCAATCACAGTACCCCTGTGAGACTGAAGTATTGACCCCATTCGAACTGAGCAAAATGAAGTCTAAACGAGATGATAGGTATAGTCCAGGGACACCCAGGGAGTATCCAGGAGCTTGGGGTACACGCTGCTCCTGTCACACCTGTGCTGTGTCCCCTGGGCAAGTCAGCCTCCCCTTCTGCACATGCTTGGTGCATAGTAGACACGCCTCACATTCTTTTCTACTTATCCCTCATCTCTTTGTCTCCATCCTGTGCTAGGAGCTGGAGATACAAAAATAAGGAATGATTTTGGTATTTTAGGAACCCCCAGGACACTGGGAGACAAACATATAAACAAATAAATGCCCTGTAGAATAAAGGTGCTAAGAAAAAAAAGAGGCAATGCCAGCACAGAAGCCCTCTCTTCCCTTCTTCCTTTCTGTCCAGACCTCCTTTTCTTTCCCTCTCCTCCTCCCCTCCGCACTGTGTGTTGTCTCCCTCAACTCCCCCACACCCCCATTCATTCATACTCTCTTGTGTGAGGCTCTATCCCCTCAAACAGTTCTCTTCACACTGCCAAAAAGAATCTTCAAGGCCTGTGTTGTACAGTGTGCATTGTTGTTAATGCGTTTTTTAACTTTTATTTTTACTTCTATGGTATTTAAAACATATCCTTATCTTCAGAAAGATGCAGATCAAGAAGTAGTAGATCAAATACAAATATGTATTTAAATTAATAATATTAATCATCAGATATTGAATCTAGAGGTGATTTGATTAGAACTATAGTTTTTGTGACTCTGACTTTTTTTAATGCTGAATACATAGAGACTTCTTTTGAAATTTGGTGGGTTTAAATGAAAACATAACTTGGAACATTTTTTCAGAACTGTAGTTTAAGCTGACACCCAGATACTACAAAACGCTGATGTTTCGTGCTGAGTAAATATTACTTCACAAGTATAAATATGCAATACTTAAATTAGGTTAATTCTGAAATCATTAAATTTTGTTACTTTAAAAAGTCATGGGAAACATTTATATTCTAAAAATATTTTTGTCTTTGGCTGCTTGATACAGAGTTTCTGAACCAGGTAATTCTGATCATATGCAGGAAAAGACCCCTATGATAAGACTAACATTGTTCATAGATATGGAGTCCTTTTTGGGAGTTTTAGGTGATGGGGAAAACCAGGGCTAGAAAAGAAATAGCGTGTAAGTTTCCAAGATGAGGACTGTGTTTTATTTCTCTGTGGTGCCCCAAAACTTAGAGCCAAGTACTTAGTGTTTGTTGAACTCATAAGTCATATAGGGTTTTTTTTTTGTGTGTGTGTGTGTGTGTGTGGCTGTACTTTATTTTAGCAAAATTTTGATGTTGTCCTATTATATAATAACATAATAAGTGGGTATCTGAGTAATGTTTAAATTTATTTTTTAAATTTCATGAATTTTTAGTAATAACATTATAAAATAAGTATAGTTTAGTTTTGTTTTGTTTTGTTTTGTTTTGTTTTTTTGCAAAATATAATTATATTGGCTGGGCGTGATGGCTCACGCCTGTAACCCCAGCACTTTGGGAAGCTGAGGCGGGCGGATCATGAGGTCAGGAGTTCAAGACCAGCCTGGTCAAAATAGTGAAACCCCATCTCTACTAAAAATACAAAAAATTAGCCAGGCGTGGTGGCAGGCGCCTGTAATTGCAGCCACTTGGAAGGCTGAGGCAGAAGAATCACTTGAACCCGGGAGGCAGAGATTGCAGTGAGCCGAGGTCGCGCCGTTGCACTCCAACCCGGGCGACAGTGTGAGATTCCATCTCAAAAAAATAATAATAATTAAAAAAAATTATATCCTAGCTAATGTACTAAGGTATTATTCTTCTAATTGACATCATGAAGAAACATTCTATATTATCTTATAAGTAGAATAATGTAGAGAGAGGTTCATTGTTTAATACATTTTTAGTCTCATCACCTATAAAGAACAAAATGATTTTCTAGGCCCGATCATGCTGACTCAGTAATTCATTTTATGTCTCTGAAGCTTAAGGCATGGCATACTTATTCATTTCATTGTAATTTTTTTAAAAAAACTATTTTGAATAGTAACCAAATATTGAAAAAAACTAATACTGCTTCAGGCAGACGAATTTGTGAATGACTGTAACAATTAAGCAATTCAAATTCACAGAATAGATGATGATTCTTAGAATAGGTGTTTAAAATGTTCTCAAATACATTCTATGGCAGTTTTACCCTGCACACTTTATATAAAAGGGAAATTAGTTTATTGAGAAATAATAATATATCATTATTAACTCTTTTTCTTTTCATTCTACTTTAGAATGCCTATTATTAAACCAGACATAGCCAACTGGGAGCTCTCAATAAAATTGCATGATGAAGTTCATACTGTAGTAGCATCAAACAGTGGGTCAACGTTCTTGGTGAGTTTTCTTTCTTTATTTTCTTGGTAATCTTGATATTATCTATGAATATTTAAAGCCATTTTTAACCTGTTCAGTGACTCTTATCTTTTGAATTTATAACACCTCTATGTACTTGTTTCATCTTCTTTAGGAAGCTGAATGGAAATGGAAATTTTTTGTTCTCTTATGCTAATTAGGAGATACATTTCCAGATTTAGCCACATCCTAAACTCACTTTCTGATATTTGATTCATTTTTCTTTTATGCTATGAGAAGTATTACTTTCGCCTTTGTTACAGAGAAGAGCATTTTGAATTACAATTCCAAATGTATGATAGTGGTGGCAGGTAACCATCCTTTTAAAACAAATAATCTGAAGCCTCACGTAACATTATCTTTAGATCTCATGTTGCGAGATGCTCTTGAAGCTAAATTTACCTCTTTAATTGACATTCTTTTTGTTTTAAAGAACTTAAACCCCTTGGATATAGTGTCCAAGACAGAACTGCTATAGTTGGAATTCTAGTCTATAGTGAACAATATTACACTAAGATTTCAATGTTTATACTGTAGTATGAGTGATATGTTTAAACCTATGATTCAAGTGTGCCAAAAAATACCATTAAGAGTTGCTATTTTAAGTCGTATGCCTTCGTATTTTCAGCCTGAACTCAAGGAGGTTGCTATTAATATATAGTTAGTATAATGAATATTCTGTTTATCTACATTTCTCTTTTAATGGCTAAGTTGCATTGAAATGTCATTTTGTTTTGGGGAAACAACTGAATTTTTATCAGAATATTGAAATAGGATGTGAACATCAAAATAATATAATTTCACACAAATAGGACGTGGTGTGGCTTGAGAGGGGTGCGGCAGTTTCTTGATCTCAGTGAGAAAATATCACAAGTCGAAGATTCATGAGAATTTTTTTATTCCACAAATTATTGTTGCATGCCTACTGTGTGCCATATCAGTTCCACGCTGTGCCCTGGGGAAGTTGACGTTCTTGTATGGTGTCAGACTCACAAATCAATGATGTCAGTCCATGAACTAAGGGTAATCGCCTTGGTTTTCTTCAAATGTTGTGACTCACTATATAAGCCAAAATTGCTAAAATGTTAGATACTGAAAGAGACTTCACTCAGCTCTCTTAAAATGAAAGCTATGATGGAGTTAAACAGCTGTCTCATGAGATCCTGTGTGACTCTCTACATTCCACCTATTGACGTGGTCATTTCAGAAAAACAGCGTTGTAGGTGGACATTTAACCAGAGATCAGGTTGAGTAGCAAATTATAGGAAGTGAATAGTAAAGAGTATCAATATTACAATGTACCATTTTTTTTTTCCTGGGGGAAGATTACCTTTACAAAAATGTAGACTTTAGCATAATTTTCAGTTCTGTATTGAGTCACCACTGAAGCCTTACTGTAATCTGATATTCTGATACAGTGTTCTTTTAAGTAGTGCCTTGCCTTAATAAAGAAAACTGTCTAGATTACTTTTTAGAGCTGTTACTTCTTTTCCTTTTCTTTTCTTTTCTTTTTTTTTGTTTTTGTTTTTGAGATGGAGTCATGCGCTGTCACCCAGGCTGGAGTGCAGTGGCATGATCTCGGCTCACTGCAGCCTTGCCCCGGTTCAAGCGATTTCTCCTGCCTCAGCCTCCCGAGTAGCTGGGACTGCAGGCGCATGCCACCACACCCAACTAATTTTTGTAGTTTTAGTAGAGATGGGGTTTCACCATGTTGGCCAGGCTGGTCTTGAACTCCTGAGCTCAAGTGATCCTCCCGCCTCAGCCTCCCAAAGTGCTGTGATCACAGGAGAGCTGTTGCTTCTTTATGCTTGTTTTAGATTCCATGCTGAAAACTAGAGACCTCTGGCCTGACTGCATATGTGGTAGCTTTAATTTTTTTCTGTAGAATTATCTCCAGCTTCACTTTTTAGCTTATGAGGAAAACAGGTCTGTTTTTAAAACACATCAAAATCAGTACATTAAAAATTTCCCTGGAAAATATCTACTTTAGTATATAGTATCAGAAATGATTTCCTATATTTATTGGCTTAGCTACTGTCAGAGCATCAATAGCCCAATGAATAGCATATGCACATGATAGCATAGCCCTTTTTCCTAGGCATATTTGAATTGAGCTACTTTCATTTGACATCAGTATTATGAAAGGAGGCAGGTTGAACAGCGTGGTGTAAGTAAAGGCTCATTGGTAGAAAGATTTCAATAGTATGGCACTATTGTCTGCTTTTAGGGTCATAGACGGGAGAGCTGTGATTGTTAACTTAGTTTCCCAGATCACCCACTGTCATATCAAGAAAAAAATTAGCCTACAGGTGACAAGCTAGGTCTGGGTTAATGACTCTGGAGATAGTGCAGGCACTACTTAGCACAGTGAAGCTTTAGGTGCCCCACATTTCTAGAGTTCTTCTGTTTAATTTTTACAAGTTTAAATTATAAGATATTTCTAATAAGGAAGGTACAGCAAATGCTGCAGATTTTCCTTACGGATCTCCTATTTAAAAAGAAAAATGTATAGATTAAGCTAAGTCCTGTTTTTACATCATCTTGTTCTACTTTCTCCCAAGCAGTGGCAGCTAACCTGAAGATGCTGTGTGTCCCTCCTGTACGTGTTGTTAAGAATTTTGGTACATATGTATATACCACAATAATGGTAAAAAGGAAAGTTGCAACAATATATGTACTTAATGGCACCATTTATGTAAATTTTAGGCAAAACAGTTTCATTTACAATAGAATCAAAAAGACTAAAATACTTGGGAATATATTTAACCAAGGAGGCGAAAGGCTTGTACACTGAAAACTACAAAAGGTTGCTGAAAGAACTTAAAGAAGACACAAATATATGGAGGGATATCTTGTGTCAGGGACTAGAAGACTTAATATGGTTAAAATATCAGTACCTCTCAGCTACTTGGGAGGCTGAGACAGTAGGTTCACTTGAGCCCAGGAGTTTGTGCCCAGCCTGGGCAACACAGCGAGACTCCATCTCTGGGGAAAAAGAAAAACGAAAGAAGGAAATGTCAGTACTACCTGAAGTGATCTACAGATACAATGCCATCCCTATCAAAATCCCCAAATACATTTTGTTGCAGACATAGATAAATTTATTCTAAAATTCATGCAATTTCAAGGGGGTCCCAAATAGTCAAAACAACCCTGAAATAGAAGGAGAAAATTGAAAGCCTTATACCTCCTCATCTCAAAACTTATTACAAAACCACAGTTTTCAAAACAGTGTGGTACTGCACATATATAGACATATATACAGACCAATGGACTAGGATAGAGAGCCCATAAATAAACCCTTGTATGTCATTTGACCAGAGTTTCTAAAATATTCAGTGGAGAAAAGACAGCATTTTCAACATGAATGAATTTGGGCCCTTTTCTTACGCTATATACAAAACTAACTCAAAATGGATCAAAGACCTAAATGTAAGAGCTAATGCTGTAAAATTCTTAGAAGAAAACACAGGGGAAGGCTGGGCACAGTGGCTCACGCCTGTAATCTCAGCACTTTGGGAGGCCAAGGCGGGTGGATCACTTGAGCTCAGGAGTTCAAGACCAGCCTGAGCAACATGGTGAAACCCCATCTCTACTAAAAATACAAACATTAGCTGGGCTTGGTGGTGTGGCACACACCTGTAATCCCAGCTACTCAGGATGCTGAAGCAGGAGAATCTCTTGAACTCAGCAGGCAGAGGTTGCAGTAAGCTGAGATGGCGCCACTGCACTCCATTCTAGGCGACAGAGTGAGACCCTGTCTCAAAAAAAAAAAAAAAAAAAAAACAAAAAACCAGAAGAAAACATAGGGGAAAAGCTTCATGGTATTGGATTTGACAATGGTTTCTTAGACATGACACCAAAAGGACAGGCAACAAAAGGTAAATTGGACTACGTGAGAGTTAAACACTTCTGTACATGAAAGGAGAATATCTACCCAGAATTTTCATCCCTCCTTTAAAATTTTTCATTATAAATACTATATAAATGTTTCATGCAAACATTTTCTCCCATTCTGTGAGTTGCCTTCTTACTCTGTTGATTGTCTGTACTCTGACAATCAACAGAGTAAGATGCAAATATTTTCTCCCATTCTGTGGGTTGCCTTCTTACTCTGTTTTTTCCAAAGTAACCACTCTGTCAGATTACAATCAACAGAGTGAGAAGGCAACCCCCAGAATGGGAGAAAATATTTACAAGTCACATAGCTGATAAGAGGTTGTTGTTGTTGTTGTTTTGAGGCAGTCTCGCTCTGTCGCCCAGGCTGGAGTGCAGTGGCACAATCTTGGCTCACTGTAGCCTCTGCTTCCCAAGTTCAAGTGATTCTTCTGCCTCAGCCTCCCGAGTAGCTGGGATTACAGGCACATGCCACCACACTCGGCTAATTTTTTTTGTATTTTTAGTAGAGATGGTGTTTCACCATATTGGTTTCGGCCAGGCTGGTCTCGAACTCCTGACCTCAGGTGATCTGCCCACTTCAGCCTCCTGAAGTGCTGGGATTATGGGTGTGAGTCACCATGCCCACCCCTGATAAGAGTTTAATATCTGGAATATATAAAGAATTTTTTCAACTCAATCGCAAAAAACACAATTAAAAATGGGCAAAGGACTTTCATAGACACTTCTCCAAAGAAGATATACGCATGGCCAATAAGCACATGACAAGATGCTCAATATCACTAATCATTAGAGAAATCCAAATCAGACCTACTACCTCCCACCCATTAGAATGGCTACTATCAAATAAACAGAAAATAAGTACTGGTGAGGGTGTGGAGAAGCTGGAACCCTTGTGCACAGTTGGTAGGAATATAAACTGATGTGGTTACTTTGGAAAAAACAGTATGATGGTTCCTCAAAAACTGAAAAGTAGAATTATATACTAACCTTAGAAAGTTGGAAATTCTGACATGTGCTATATAACACACATGAATCTTAAGGACATTATGCTAGGTTAAATAAGCCAGGCACAAAAGGACAAA